GTGCCTTGTTTTATACACAGTCTATGCTTTTTTGTACTTAAATAGTTGAACACTTTACCCACCTTCCCGGTATCTCCCAGCTGTCACCGAATTCAACGATGTCGGTTGTAGTTGTGCCATCGGGTTTGCGTAGCTCATTTTCTATCACTCCGTTAGCGTCACCGAGCAGGCCAGCGACGTTGCCAAGCATACGGCTGTCCTCGAGACGGATACTCAACCTGTGAAAGCGTCCACACCATGTCAGCAGAAGTTTGGGTTTTGTCACCTGGACGTAGACGTTCATTTCATCTGTGTAAACATCTCCATTCCCATCGCCAATAACACGAGAAGTTTTTGCGAAGCGTTTACCACTGATCTATAATTACAAGAGTATTTTCGTCAGTTCTGTTTTCATAACATAAACTCGCATGTAACTGGAGTATAGCGCAGCATGTCATCGTGGTGTATTTAAAATAGGATAACATGTTTTAGAAGCTTGCTGCTGGTCACGTCTGATGGTTTTTCCTCATGATATTTAGCACAATATGTGGAGGTAAACCGGAGCTCTGACACAAACTTTAAAACAAATGATTTTTCCTTTTCTGACAATACTGGTAACAAGTTTATATATTATATATAATATATTGATATTACATGTGAGTGTATACTTTATATTGCAACTCATTGTACAAATTGAAAAAACACAATATAGTATATCTATACTGTAATATTGATCTACGTAAGTGCGCATGCGCCCGAGTTATCAGCACGCACGATTAATTCAAAGTCTGTACAGGTTATTGTTTTAACGAATTATATTATGCAACATGAAAAATGTATACATATGCATTAATAATATTTAAAAAAAAATCCATCAGCTAATTCTCAAACCTGCAATGACCCCCCCCGCCTTATATTATTGCGGAGATCGATAATTACCTCAAATGTATTGTCCTGGTACAACTTCACAACAAGGACGCCCTCTACGAGTAAACTAATATCAACCATTCTTGTGATGGGCTTTTCGGGGTTCCTTACGCCACTGAAATTAGCGCTGACTTGGAATGCTGGGAAATCAGCATTGTCCACACTCTGGGTAAGTACGTAAGAGCAAAATCCCTGATAGCTGTATTTCATACCATCAAACGTTCTTAAATGTGGATCAGCACAGCTCTGACCTAGAAAGCAAAATCGGTACATTTATAAAGGGCGGTAGTCGTCGTGACACGCATGATCGAGATACATGGCTCTCGTATAAACAAATATGTAGACTTTGACTGTAGATCAACGACGAAAAACTGAGACGTTACCAGGATTTAATTAGGTAATTTTTAGGGTGATTGGAAGGTATCGAACGAGTCACCGGCGGTAATTAGTGCACGTCGCGCCCAGGTCTAACCTCGTACTCGTGACTCCTATTAGAAGAGCGCATTGGATTGTGGGAAAATCAATGTTTATCAACACAAATGTCGCACATGCACAGTGCGACGACCACCACCCTTCAAATGGAATACTAGTACTACAAGTAAACAATCTCACCTAATAGAAGCAGAGGAATGTACTATGAAAACAGTAAATATTCCATTTTCATTTTTCGGGGACGGATCGTTAGATTTATTGGGAATAAATAAAGAAATAAAAACGAAAACGTATCACCAAATATACATAAACGCAATCACCACTGTAGAAAAAATATATTCCCGCCCTGATATATATACTTCACCTTCAACGAAGAGATCGCCAGTATCATTTTCTAACAAGGCAGCCTCAGTAGTGTCGCCCATCTTCTCCAACTCAGCAATTACGTCATTCCAGTTTTGCTCGACGGCTTCGCGCCAGAATACAGGGGCGCCATTGAGTCCATACTCGTAGAACACGGATACGATTGCTGTCCGTTGGGCCATGGTCAATGCCTCGAACATTTGGAGGGTAGGATCACCTGAAGTGAAAGAAACTGCCATAGGTAAAATATTCAACGCTCGCCTTCATTGTTTGTATGTTCGTCCGTTCGTTAATAATTGAAGATCTTGCCGGTTGAAACAAACAAAACATTTTACAACCGTTGTGAAATATAACAACTGTCAGGCGCTAACGAGAAAAAAAACAAACTTAAATCATCAGCAGCGTAAAAGAACATTTTAATCCAATGTTTTAAAACAAAAATGGGCCAAAAAAGGTCACATTGCGAGTCACCAACTGCAACCAACATTACGATAAGCACAAATTGAAATTCCCAGACGAATTCAAGGCCATGGCTTATTGCGACAGTTTTCATCTTAGGGAAACACATACAAGAGGGGGGCAAGGGGGGTAGCTGGATACAGTTTTACGGGAAATAAAAAAGGGCTTTTTACAATTTACAAGGAAAAAAGACGTTTTTACAGTTTACAGTGAAAATTTAATTTTGCAGTGATATTGTGTCATCTAGTCATTTTATAGTTTCGAAAATGTAATTTTCCTGAATTATTCTTTACGACTTTTATTTATTTAAATGTAAATTCTTGTACGTACCGAGAAAAATGACACATTTTTACAGTGTACGAACAAAATATTTGATTGATTACGTTATACGTCTAGCCTGTGATTACAGAATTACGGAATTTATTTTTTCAATTTACATTGTACGAACAACAAAATATTGTAATTACGTTGAACGAAAATAACCCTTGCCCCCCTCATACAAGGATGGAAAGAACGCCGTTTTTAGCGACATATCAATGAGCTGTTAACCAAACCCCGTCTAGCACACATTACTTACGCACATGTAACGCACTCGACTGTAAATTGAACCTCGTTAATGTGTCATCGAGGGGCGGTATGCGTGCGCAAATAAATAAATAACAAACAAACCTTCGCGGTCTACGTCACTGTTATATTCAAGACTGATAACTTCGACGTCATAATTCAGTAATATAGTACTTAGAGTGGCTGCTTCTCATCGGTTAACGATAATGGATTTGTTTCCAGTTCCTTAAGTGCTTTCTTCCCCTGTATAAATCAGATGCAAATTAAATATTCAGTTGCGATGACCCAAAAAGTAGTATTGACCGAGGCGCAACCGAAGTCGATCTTTTCGATATGAGGGTCATTGACCGACATTGTTTTATTTTACGAGAATAATAAACG